AAATCTTAAAAAAATTATTTAATTTTATTTTATGTGCATTAGTGTGAAGGTGTCAGATCCCTTGGAATTGGGGATACAGACAGTTGTGAGCTGCCATGTGGGTGCTGGGAATTGAACCCGGGTCCTTTGGAAGAACAGAACAGTGCTCTTAACCACTGAGCTCTCTCTGCAGCCCTGAAGTGACTTCTTAAAGCACACTGATTTCCCTGTGTATTTGTGGGGAAAAAATCAGGCATAACCTTGATGCTAATAGAATGGTGGCCATCCGTTTTTTCTTCCCACTACCATCCCTTTCAATCCGAACTTCTAACTTGGTTTCATGGCTCCTCTTGCCGTGACGCTTTTGTCATTAGAGCCACCTGGTGGTCATGGGGGAAATTACAGGAAGATTACCTCCAAATACTCTGCAGAGAATAAAACACCCTGTGGGAAGAGACCCCAGCACAAGGCCAGCATCCTACCATCGTACAGCCACCTTGCCCTCAGGACACAACATCATACCCACTGGTTCTTACAGACAAATTCTTTGATATCCGAGGAGTTCAGTCAGTCACATTTATTGAGGAGCAGCTATGTGCTCAGCAACGAGGGCTACAGCAGTGAATGAGACCTCGGCCCTCAGGGGCTCACACTCTAGCAGCCAGCCACCCACATCCATTCTACAGAGCTGTACAGTGGTGATGAGCACGCAGGACAGTGCGTACAGGTTCTGTGTTAACTGAGGCAAGAGACTGAACGAGGTGCAGGAAAGGGACAAGCACTGGCAGGGATGGCAGCCGCAAGGCCTGATTTCTGCAAGGCTTCTTAAATTCAGGGCTTTACTGCAAAAGCATGAAAAGCCTTCTGAAGATCTGAGGCAGAAAGTAAGATGTTCAGAAGTAGAAATCAAAGTTGTAAGTTTCCTAGCTATTTGAGACAAATGAAGATACTATTTTTTATAAACAAAAGAACAGATTTTAAAAGATTTTTTAAAGGGTTGGAGAGATGGCTCAGCAGTTAAGATCACCGTCTGCTCTTCCAAAGGTCCTGAGTTCAACTTCCGACAGCCAGCCACATGGTGGCTCACAGCCATCTACACTGGGACCTGGTGCCCTCTGCTGGCGTGGAGGTGTCCGTGCAGACAGAGCACTCATGTAAAATAAATGTTAAAACAAACAAACAAAAAAAAGCAAAAGATATATTTAAAAAAAGACTTTGAGACAGGATTGCTGAGTGCTCGGGCATGCAGGGAAAGGGATGTGTCCCTAACAAGAAGCTCTGAAGTGGGCAGGTGGATCTCTTTGGGTTCCTGGCCAGCCAAGGCTACACAGTGAGGCCCCTCTCCTGGAGGAACGAGGACGATTTGGGATGCCCTGAAAGACAAGCTCGGGCAGATGGACACATCCCAGCAGTGATGCGCTGAGGAAGCTATGGGAGGAACACGGCTCCCAAAGAGCTTGGGGCTTAGAACAAGTAAGGAAACACGTAAGGTTACTGCAGAGCTGACTGAACATGGAATGATCCAAGCAACTCGGCACTCTTGGGTCGTGAGGGACTCCGTGGAGTCCTCAGTATGTGGACTCAGACCACCGAGGCGACAGCCTTGGACCCACCTCTGTCCACACTGCCCAGTCACCTCTCAGAGAGCCATGCAGCCACCCAGTGTCTCCTGCAGAGCATGCTCCCTAGGAGCCTGAGGCTGCGGCTGGGAATTCGCCTTCATTCATTTTAGCTGCTTCAGGGAAGCACGCTTGCCAGTCACTTTCTCTGTGTAACTGCTCTGGCTGTCCTGGAACTTGCTTTGTAGACCAGGTTAGCTTTAAACTCAAGGCTAACTCCTGCCTCTGCCTCCCAGGTGCAGGGATTAAAGCCATCATGCCTGGCTCAGTTTATCAGTTCTGAATTTCCCTCCCCTTCAGTAGGGATGGGGAAGGGAACCGAATCTAGCCAGTCACCAGGAGAGTTGTCTGCCTCCCTTTGCTCCCTCTCTCTGGCCCCAACAACTCTTTTAGAGACAGCATCTTAGAAATGCAACCCTGTCTTCCTAGCCTACTGGAAAAAAGAAAGTGCCCCCTTTGGGTTCCTCCCTACAACTTCTTGATCTACAGGTCCTTTCTCCACTCTGGCTTTTCTTGGATTCAGTAAATATCTATCTTGTTGCCTCCAACAGTCAGGAATCTTGCTATGATGTCAACAAGAAAGCGGCCTCAGCAGCCAGTGCTTGGCTGAAATTCAGCCTTCCCTGCCTCTGTCTCTAGAGTTCTCAGCTAAATAACTCCTTTCAAACACAGTACATGTTGACTGCATGACAGGCTTCCATTTCCCATCATGCAACAAGCCTGGGACAAGCTCACATTCCAAACACATGGTTCGAGAGTAGCCGTCAGAAATGCTAGCATTAGGAGAAGATAGAAAAGAGCCTGACTTTCAAAGTTAGGAAGGCTGGGGTTTGCATCGTGGCTCGAAGGAGCTAACAGATGTTCTTTTGTGCTACTGAGCCCTTCTAAATTCCCATTGGAATTGGCTGTAAGATGGCATGAGTGGCATTCACCTGAGAGGGCATCTGTGTAAAGAGCAGGGAGCTCCCAGCATGATGTCTATCCTCAACTCACGGGGAATCAGTCACTGTCTCCAGAGCTAACTTCTAAACACCTTCAGAAAGTAGAGCAGCCAGCCACCAGCTGTGATCCCTGATAGGAATTTCCAGATCCTGTCTTTGTAGGTCCCATCACCCCTCTCATCTCTCACCTCTGCCAAAAGTTCTTCCACCCTTTATTGTCTGTATAACCTTCACTATTGACGAGCCCTGCCTAATCTACGTGCTAACACTCTCAACGGAAAGGCTCTAGGCGTCTTCCTGCCATTTCCAGGGGTTAATTCTCTCCAGGACCCCTCTACTATTCTTTGAGCAAATCATAAAGGAGCCAGGGGTAAGGCCCTTCCATTTCAGAAAGCCACAAGAACCACAGGCCAGTTCCCAGAGGGGAACAGAGGTGTGGGTCCAGGCCCCACAGACCACACCTGTTTTCCTCGGGGCATAGAAAGAGGCAGACGCAGATGTCTCAGTCTACACGTGCATCTCCTTGCCTATAGCTCCGTGAGGTCATCATTGAAGTAGAGCAGTATCGCAGGTATGTGATGTGTGGCATCCATATTGAGATAGTCAAACTCCTCTTCTTCATCCCGGATCCCGTTATCTTCCAGATTGCGATCCATGTTCAGGTTCTTACCATCGTATTTCCACGTGTAGCTGGCAGCGTGTGCGTTATAGGGGAGATAGCGGTGCAGGATTTCCCACATTGACTCCAGAGCCCCCACCTAAAGAACACGGAAGTGTCGACCTCTAGAATTCTGCATGGAACACACAGACACACTCCTGAGCGCTAGGAGGGGGGGCTCTTAAGCCACGATCCTTTAGGATTTGCTCTAACTGGAAACTGGGAAGAACACCAGAAGTGAAGCAGTCCCAAGGAGCCACTGAGCTAGAACGAGAGTGCCTCCATTAGCAGACAGCGCCCCTCAGGCACCCCACAGCCCCAGAGAAGTAAAGCTGACGCTCCAGTGCACAATATAGACACCAGAGCCACCACTTCTATGAGTGAAAGCTGGTGCCCCTCACTTGCAGTGGAGTAGACTGAGTCCAGCTGCTGTCTGCAACGGCAGGTAACCACCGTCATAGGATGCTGGCCTAGACTATGATGAAGACTGTGGTAGCTGTAATGTAAACACTTCTAGAATTCCCTCTGTGGGAACCTGGGTCGTCTGCTTTCCTCTGTCCTGTCAGGGGGAGGGAAGAAAACACCGCCGCCCCCAGAAGTGCTTTCTGCTTGCCTCTAGCCTGTCCACCGGCGCCAGCCCTCACCTGCAGAGTGTGCTCCTGCGACGTGAGGGTGTTAATAATGCGGATGTTCCGGGTCTTGGCGGACAGCCGCCCCACGTTATAAAGCGTCCCCTTCCACCAGGGCATCCCGAAGTCATTGGCCCAGTCTGAGCGGGGCAGAGGCGGCGGGATGTGCACGAAGCGGCCCCGCGGGGTGCGGTACCTCAAGCAGCCGGTCAGTGGGTCTATGTGCTTGCGGATCTTGTTTCGAGGAAGGAGAGGTGTAATCACTATTTCGGGTTCTTACTGTTCCCCGCCACCCTTTCCCGCTCTCTGGAGCCGCTTCCACCAACCCCACATTCCAACGGAACGTACATCTCTGGTCTGTGGATCAAACCAGTGACTAATGTCCTGGCCAGCGACCTCAAGGATGGGTTTCATCAGTAGGTCCCCTAAAAAGGAACAGCGGCCGTCAGAGGCCAGCCACCTAGGTGCCAGGACCAGCTCCCCAGCCCTTCCTGGACATGTGTCCCTCACCTTTGAACTCCTGTGCAAGCGGAGTTAGATTGTACACATGTCCCAGGTAAGATACCCAAAGGTCGTCGGGCTGGTTGTGTTCCGCTACTTCTGCCGGTGTGAAATAACGACGCTGAAAATAGTCAAAGTCTGGCCCCGCTACTAGGCCTCGGCGCGTCATGGCTCCGGTTCGGTTAGGAGCACTGGCTCCCTTGGCTACTTCCTTGCTCCTCAGCAATCCTGCAAAGACCGGGTCCGAGAGCTCCCTGGAGTGCGTTTGTCGCTGACATGGAAACCATTGTCCTTTCCCGGCCACTGTACGCGGAGGTTAAACCTGCGTAAGCAGGGCGGGGCTTGGGCTGCACGTGTTCCCCGGAAGCATATGCCTGGTTCCGGCCTGGAGCCTAGCGTTGTCCAGTTCATTCTGAGAGAAAGCGAAGACAGTCCGTTCCATCGCGGAGTCTAGGCTACATGGGTTTGCTAGGGTGACGGCAAATGACGCTGAGGAGACCAGAACAGAGGGTTTTTAAAGTACCAAATTTCAGGCGGTTCCAAAAGGTGCCTAAGAGAGCGCAGGCAAAGGTCTCGCGATATTGTCTTAACAGCCCAGTAGGCGTCGCTGAACTCGGGCTGAAAGAAAATCTCGCGAGATCTCTGGAGGCAGACCCGGGGACGCGGAGGCGTGATCTCACGAAAGGGAAGCGCTTGGGAGCACTCGCGAGATCTGGCGACCCGACTCTACACGCTCTCGGGAAGTTTAAGGCCCAATGGCCGGAGCTGGGCCGACCATGCTGCTACGAGAGGAGAATGGCTGCTGCAGTCGGCGTCAGAGCAGCTCCAGCGCCGGGGTTAGCGCGGGCTCGGGTTCCGGAGGAGCCGTCGGGCGGCGACACCGAGCGGGGAGGGGAGTCGGCGGAGAGGACGGGAAGGGAACTACAGTTCCCGGCAGCCCGTGGGCCCCGGGCGCCGCCGAGCGGGCTGCTGGGAGCTGTGGTTCTGCGGGCGTGCAGCCGCGACTGCGCGTCTGCATGTGTGTGTGTGCTGCCCTGGCAGGACTCCGACGGGGAGCAGGAGGACTCGCCGGCCGCGCGTGCCCGGCAGCAGCTAGAGGCGCTGCTCAACAAGACCATGCGCATTCGTATGACAGATGGAAGGACACTAGTCGGCTGCTTCCTGTGCACCGATCGCGACTGTAACGTCATCCTGGGCTCCGCACAGGAGTTCCTCAAGCCGTCTGGTCAGTGCCCAGGGAGTACACACCTCCTCGGGAATGCGGCGGGAGCTCACCGCGGGGCGTTTCCTCTTGCAGGCCTTACTGCGCCCCTATTTTCCGGGGCGAGATCGATGCTCGCAGGCCGTTCTGATACTCTGACCTTTTTTTTTTTTTTTTTCTAGATTCATTTTCTGCGGGAGAGCCCCGTGTGCTGGGTCTGGCCATGGTGCCAGGCCACCACATCGTTTCTATTGAGGTCCAAAGGGAGAGCCTGGCGGGGACCCCGTACCTCTGACCACGATCGCACTTCTCTCTGAGACCATTAAACCCTGTGACCAAAGCGGCTGGTGTCTGTGAGCTCCGACGTAAGCTAGGGAGAGCACGCTCCATCCTTCGAGCAGGCTCGTCTGAGTCCAGGCGCTCCCTCAGCCCGACCCCTCCATTTAAGAGTGCCAAAGCCTCCCTCAAGTTAGGCGCCTAAGGCAACAGCCCCGAGGGTGGGCCCCTCACCTTCCCTCCCACGCCGCTGCTTCAGACTGGAACGGGAGGGGGTGTCATCCTGCTCCGGAAGACCCATTGTTTCCCACCCCGGCCTGGCAACGCTTAGTTCCTTTAAGCCGGGGTCAGAGAACGGGCTCCGGTCCCCAAGGGGAGCTGGGTAGGCAGTCAACGCAAGGCCCCCTCCGCGATTATTAATAGGGAAGTGACTTCGGGGTCAGGGTCAGAGCTCCGGGGTCCGACCAGGAAGAAGGGACTGAAGAGATAAGGGAAAGCAGGATGCTTTATTTAAAGAAGCTCTGCTTTGCCCACGCGTCCTCCTCCCGAGCCCTGGGCCGGGGCCACTGTGTATGTGCCACCGCTGAATTTAGAGAGCACATTCGTTTTATAAGTTGTGATGGTGTCTTCTCTAGTCCTGCCCCTCAGTCCCGTAAATATCAGAGGAGCTGCACCAGCAAAGGAAGGCATGAAGTCCAGCTCAACTGTTCACGTTAGAGGAGGGGAGATGTGAGGGTCCGGCCCAAACGGTCAGGATTCAAATGTGGATGGGTTTTCTGGGGCATGAGGATTTTCACCTGGGTCCACAGGTGCTGCTGTTCCACCGAAGAAATGCTGGGACCTGACTCAGGCAGTGGTGAGGAGCAGGGCTGGGCAGAACAGCCCCGGGCTTCCTGTAAGTCCTCAGGCGACAGGATGCTTGACTCCACGCGCCTCAGACCCAGACCTTCCCAGGTGTGGGAACAGCCCGGGACCCTGGTGAGGCCGGGATTTGCTTCGGCTGTGGGATGTGCCGGCGCCGGTACAGGGCCCGGCTGTAGGGCACAAGGCAGTCGGCCAGGCGAAGGCGCAGGCAGAGGCGGCGGTAGGTCGCCAGGGCCAGCACCAGCAGCGGCACCAGCAGCAGGAATCCAATGACCAGCAGGGCGGTGAAGCCTGGGTCCCGCAGATGCGCCGTGCAAGGGGGCGCCTGGGAGTGCAGGAACTGTGCGGGTAACAGGCGTCAGGCTGGCCCGCCGGGCCGCATCCTGCCCAGGGGGGAAACAGCCCCCACCCCACCCCTTGGGGCACACGCTTACCTGGGAGTGGCAGAGAAAGCCGAAGCCTAACATGGTGACAGCGGGTAGCAAGATGGTCCCCAGCACCAGCGCCAGCAGGAGGAGGTTGAAGACGGCCACCAGCAGATTCTGGGCCGTTACCAGCACTGCGCAGGCCCAGCAATCCAGGGGATCCCGGGGCTCTGGGCCGCCCGCGAGAACCGAGCGCTGGGCTCCGGGCACCTCCGCCATGGCCTGGCTGGTTCCCGCCCCAAAGGCTGCAGCCCTTATAGCCCTCCTTCCTGCCCCTCCCCCGGGGCAGCCTCTCCCCACCCCCCACTACCTTATCCTGGAATGCAGCTCTGGGATCAGGCATCCTCATCCCAAGGAGCAGGCCTGGCTCTGGACATTCCACAGGCGCCTTCCGGGAGGGGTTCGGGGGCTGCGCGGCCCTCCATCACCGTCCCGACCGTCAACTGATAGCCTCCACAGCCACCATCAAAACACAACGGCCTTTTTTTTTTTCCTGCTTTTATTTTTAATATTAATATTCTCACACAAAAATCACCGAAAATAGGGAGGGGTTGGGAAGACCCCTCTGCCCCTGGGGCAGAGAGACAGTGCAGTGCGAGGGGCGGGGCTGTAACCCCCCACCCCTCCGCAGCCCCAGCGGGACAAAACGAACCAAGAAAATGAAAATAAAGCCCCAGAGAAGCTCAGCCCAGGGTGTCCCTGCCCCAGTGAGGCCCTGCCCAGGGCTGTTTCTCGCCTCTAAAAAGAGTGGGGTGGGGGTGGAGGTGTCCAATGGTTTTTAATTGGCCGAGGCTGGGGAGGGCAGGGTTTCTTTTCCTCATAGTTCTTTCTTTAAAACTTTTAAATTTTTTATTTTATTTATTTATTTTTTTACAAAATACCATTTCAGTTCCCACTTCCCCTACAGTACAGGAGTCGCTCACCCTCAGGCGGGGTTGGGGGTGGGGTCGGGAGTGGGGTACTGGTCCGAGAAAGTGCAGGACGTAGGGGAGGGGAGCGGGTTAGAGCACCATGAGAGCCGGCGGGAGCCGCGAGCGGGCGGAGACGCCGGCCACGCCCGGACACATACTGGGGCACAGGGAGAGCCCGGGACGGGCCTCCCAAAGAGGCAGGAGGGATGGCTTGGGGGGGGCGGGAGGTCGGGTTTCCCCAAAAAAATGAATAAATAGAGGTGAGTGGGACTGTTATAAATTAAAAATCAAAAACAAGAGGAACAAAAATACAAATCATAACCAAGTGAATAAACAGACATATACAGGGATCACAGCTAGCGTTGGAAGTAAAAAAAGGTCCTGGGGAGGGTGAAGCCCATAGAGAATCTCATTAAAAACCTCGGCTGCCGAACGTCTATGTACACGAGCCGCGGGCGAGCTCTGCGCCGGGCGGCGGGCGCGGCGGGCAGGCTTGAGGGAACCCGTATGAGCCCCGCCGCCGCCGGAGCCTGGTCCTTGTGTCTGCTGCTAGAAAGGCCAAAGTCGGTGAGGGGGGCGCGGGGCAGGGCCGCCGGCCCCTCCCCGGCTCCCTTTTTTTTTCCTTTTTTTTCCTCGTATTTGTTAAAAAAATTCTTTTTCTTAATAAATTAAGTGAGGGGAGCTGCCAATAGGGTGGAAGGGCTGGACCCAACCCCCTTTCCCGGCCCAAGGCGGGACCTAGGTCCAGCCCAGGCGTGTGCTGGTGGCCCCGCCGCGGCCTGCGTGGGCGGGCGAGCGGGGCGTCCGGCCTCATCGCGACGTGCTGGCGGGGGCCTGCGGGGCGAGAGCAGCGGGGTCAGCGGGGCTGGGCGGGGGCCGCCGCGCCCCCCCGCCCCCCCGAGCCCGCGCTCACCAGCGTGAAGGCGTCGTAGGCCTGCGCCAGCTCCTCCGTGCGGTACTGCTCCAGCACCACCACGCCCTGCAGCCCCGCGCTGCGCCTGCGCGCGCAGCCCTCGCAGTGCACCAGGTACGTGTTCCGGCTGCCGTTCTCGCTGGTCACGAACAGGATGTTGAACACCTCCACCTGGCGGGGCGGGGGGGGGGGGCACGGCGTCCGGGGGGGGGGCCGCCCGCGGGGGGGGGGGCAGGGCTACCCACGTCGCACTCGTTGCAGTAGTAGGCAGGCTCGTCCTTGACGCGGCCCTGGTAAGCGATCTTCTTCCCGGCCCGCACCAGGCTCTCCCGCTGCACCTGGCAGTGCTTCATGGACTGCAGGAGGCAGAACCTGCGGAAGGGCCGAAGGCCGACCGAGGCTGGAGGGCGCAGGGCCCCAGGACCCTAGCCCCGGACTCCCCCAGGCCGCCCCCCCCTTTCATTTCTGGGTTGCATTTCCCGTCTTGACATTTCAGGGTTTTGGGTGTGTTTGGACCACAGGAAACGAAGGCCGAGAGAGAACAGGGACTTTGTCGGCGTCGCCAGCGCGGACGGCTGGAGATGAGGGGGTCTGCAAGGACCAGGCAGGGGGCCATCGGGCGGGGCGGGGCTGCTAAGCCAACAGGGGCCTCACTTGATCATCTTGAACAGGTCGGGGTCGCTGATTTTGACCGTCCGGGCCACGTTCCAGGACACGTGAATCATGGGCACGATCGACTTGACGCTCTTCACCTCGTTCCACTCATATCGCTCCAGGGCCAGCTGGTACTGATAGGCTGCGGGCCGCAGGCGGTCACGGAGGGCTCCCAGGCGGCCCGGAGCCCTGCTCCCCCCACCCGACCTGGGGATGCACCCCGAGGGCTCCCCAGTACCCCTCGCTGCCCCCCGGGAAGCTCCCCCGCACCCCTCGCCGCCCCCGGCGCCAGCCCTCACCGGTGAGGGGCCCCCCGCTCCCCTCGTCGCCAGCCCTCACCGGTAAGGGGCCCCCCGCCCCCCCCGGCCCCCTCGCCGCCAGCCCTCACCGGTGAGGGGCCCCACGTTCCAGGCGATATTGTTGCACCAGCCGGTAGCCTGCACCCAGTGCACGGTCCCCGCGTTGATCCACACGAGGTCCCCGGGGCGCTGCACGAAGCGGTACACGGGGATATTGGACGCGTAGAGGTCATCCAAGATGGGCCACCAGGAACCGGTCAGGTAGTCCACACCGTGCCTGCGGGGCGGGCAGCCACAGGGTCAGCGGGGAGCGCCGCGGACCCGAGGCGGCGGGGAGGCCAGCGGGGGGGCGCGCGCACCGGTCGCAGAAGGCGCTGATGGTCTCCCAGTAGTGCTCGTGCACCGCGAACCACTCGCAGTCCCCGGGACCGATGTTGATGTTGACGGAGCAGAAGTTGTTGTTCTCCTGGTGGCCTGCAGGGGGAGACGGCACGTCACGGACGTCGGCACCGGCCTGGACAGGCGGCCCTGGCCCTCCTGCGCCAGCACCAGAGCGCGCACCGCCCGCGCACCGCCCGCGCACCGCCCGCGCACCTGGCGTCCGGCTGCCGGGCACCTTCATGTACAGCTGCACGGTGTTCATGCCCAGGATGGTGTGGCCCACGTGGCTGAGCATGTTGCCGGTGGACGTCACCCGCATGAAGGCGGGCAGCTTCAGCAGCTCCTGGAGCTGGGGCTTCCACCTGTGCGCACACGGGGAGGGCGGGGTGAGGCGAGCGGCGCCCAGGGCGGCCCTTAGCAGACGCCATCCCAGCCTCACCGGCCTCACCCACCTCTTGGCATCCGACAGGTCGATGTTCGTGCCAAACTTGATGATGTGATGGTTCTTGGGGTCCGGTGCACTGCTACAGGGCAGAGGCACACACAGGTGGGTGGCGGCGCCGCAGGGGAGCCGCGGCGCGGGCGGGGCGGGACCGGACGGGGCTCTACCTGGGGGGGGTGCCCGTGGTGCTGTCTGGCTCCTCCGACTCCTCGTCCTCGCTCTCCTTCTCCTCCTGCTTGGGCAGCCGGGCACGCAGGTCAGGGTCAGCCGGCGGCCAGACCCGCACCCCCGGCCCCGCCCGGCCCCGCCCGGCCCCGCCCGGCCCCGCCCGGCCCCGCCCGGCTCGGGCCTCACCTGCAGCGACTCCTGGAAGGAGGACGCCTGGTACTGCGCATACTTGGCGATGGTGGTGTGCGAGCGGGAGCTCTCGCAGGGCCAGATCTGCCGCGTCCCCGTCAGGTCCCAGTTCTCGTCGGAGGGCTGCTGCACCTGCGTGCGCACCTCCACCGCGTGCTCCCCGCTCGCCTCCACCAGCGTCTTGGTGGAGAAAAGGCCCAAGTCTGCAGGGAGCGCCAAACAGGACGCCCGTCAGGACGGAAGCCCCTTCCCGCCCTGGCCAGCCCTCGGAGGAGGTGGGCTCCGGTTGGGCGGAACTCGGCGCCGAGGAACGGGCAAGAACCGCAGCCCCAGGAAGCTGGCGAGGCTGGCTCTCTGGGTCCTCCCAGCCTCCTCCTCCACCCACTTCACGCCTCGTCTCGCTACTAGAACTCGCGGACGTGCACATGAACGCACGGCAGGCAATCAAGTGAAAGATGTAGTCAACCTTGGAATGCCTCCGTCACTCTCTGGGAGGAAAGGATCCATGAAGGACACACGACTGGCCTTTACGTTTCTATAGTTTCCTCTAGTTTGACGCTTTGAAATTTCGGTCGCGCACGCGCACACACATACACACGGGATTGAAAAACCAAACCCGGGATCAGAAGTCGTCTATAATAGATTCTTTTCATTCCTTTTTGTTTGTTCTACTTTGTTTTTGTCGAGACGGGGTTTCTCTGTGTACCCCTGGCTGTCCTGGTGCTGACTACAGAGCCAGAGACCCGCGCTGGGGTCAACGGCGTGCGGACCGCGCATGCTCACACTCTCAATCACTAGGAACGTCGGAGGCGGCGCTGGCCACTCCTGAGCTCCACCTTCTCAGGTGTGCACTGCGGGGGGGGGGGGGGGCAGGGACAGAGAGGGGCGGTCTCGGGGCACGGCTGCGGTCTAGGGGCGGAGGGGGCTCGAGGGTCCCCGAGCCTTCGGCATACTCACTGAGGCGGAGCGAGCCCGCCAGGCCCCGGATGACGGTGATGGGGTTCCGGGGATCCGTGCAGAACTGCAGCAGCACTGGCGAGAAGGCGTCCCGCTTGCTCTCCAGCTGAGGCGACCAGAGGGCGGCGGGTCAGAGCCTCGGCCCGGCCCGGCCCTCCCGGGGCAGGCCGCATGCATACATACATAGATGCTGGGCGTGGGGGGGTTGAGCTTTTCCCGGGGCAGCTTCTCCTCCGTGTTGATTTTCGGCTTCACGGACTGGGCGGGGGAAAGGTAGGACTCTCGAAATTTCCCTTTCACCTTGGCGTTCCTGTGAGCAGAGCGAGGATCCGGTCAGAAGCCGGGGTCCCGGGCGAGCGCCCCCCCCCCCCGAGCGGCCCCGCGCTCACTTGCTGGCCCGCATGACGTCGGCGGCGCAGTGGCTG